AAAGGCAGCCCCGGGTGTTTCCATACGAGGCGGATAGGTGCTTCCAACACTGACATTCTCCAGGAGAAAAATAGGCAGGAAAGCTCCTGGCGCAGCAGTTTTATTGTGTTAATAAGTTTGGCGTCTATAAGCACCATATGTAAATGACTGCTATAGTGCCTTGCTGCCATTTAACATTATGTTGGGGAGGTGAGCGGGAGCCAAGTCTGCAGCTTTTCCATTAATAAAATCCTGGCACGGAGCTGCCCCAAGCAGGAGGAAATGCACTTTTCCAGGGCTTCTGGTGGATCCTGGTGGATTCCCATAATCACCCCCAAACATCCGAACCCACGGATCCCCCTCCCTCTTCTTTGGCACCCTGGAAAATGCATCTAAAAAATCTCTCAGGCTGTCCCTTCCAGCTTTGGGGACACCTCAGAGCAGGGGGGTAAAGCCAATCCTGGCACAGAGCTGTCACAAGAGGAAATGCACTTTTCCAGGGGTTCTGGTGGATCCTGGTGGATTCCCATAATCACCCCCACCCTCAAACTTCCGAATCCACGGATTCCCCTCCCTCTTCTGTGGCACCCTGGAAAATCCATCCAAAAAATCTCTCAGGCTGTCCCTTCCAGCTCTGGGGACACCTCAGGATGGAGATGAAAGTAAATCCTGGCACGGAGCTGCCCCAGGCAGGAGGAAATGCACTTTTCCCGGGGTTCTGCCGGATCCCCGTGATCTCCCCCACCCCCAAACTCCGAGCCCGCGCATCCCCCCCCTTCCCTCGGGAGTGGTCGGAGGGGGCCCCTGGCTGAGTCATTTATTTATTTTGCCGGTGCCATATGAAAGGCAGCCCCGGGTGTTTCCATACGAGGCGGATAGGTGCTTCCAACACTGACATTCTCCAGGAGAAAAATAGGCAGGAAAGCTCCTGGCGCAGCAGTTTTATTGTGTTAATAAGTTTGGCGTCTATAAGCACCATATGTAAATGACTGCTATAGTGCCTTGCTGCCATTTAACATTATGTTGGGGAGGTGAGCGGGAGCCAAGTCTGCAGCTTTTCCATTAATACACCACGAGCTGCCAATTCCGGAGGGGCTTTTTTCCCTCTCTTTATTTTTTTTTTTGAAAAATGGGAAAGAGCCCGGCGCCAAAATGCTGCCTCGGACCCTTCCGTTGGGTGGGAAATGGGTAAATATTGTGTTCATTTAGCCCTGGAGGCAGCTCCAGAGCTTGGAGCTGCGCTGGGAAATCCCGGTCTGCCGAGGATCCCGATCCTCGGGAGAGGGGCTGAGGGATGGGCAGAGCCGCTGCCAGCCCGGGGCTGTGTTTGGGGGTTTATCCCACTGTGTCTGGGGTTTATCCCACTGTGTTTGTGGGTTTATCCCTGCTCCCCCTTCCCCGACAAGCAGCGAAAAAAAAAAAAAAGAAAGAGAAACCAAGGGGGGAAAATTGAAATATAAAGCGCCGTGAGTTTCTTCCTCCTGCAAGGAATTCGCAGCGAATTTCTGTTGAGTCGATGGCTCCGTGCAGTCATATGGATGGCAGGCTCCCAGCCATTATTAGTGTAAACAGATTTGTGAGCAGTATATTTAGCTGCTCCATATTGCTTTTAGGAAATGTGCACATTTCCATGGCACACGCTCCCGGAGGGCCATACCCTGCCACGGCTCCGCAGGTGGGCACGGAGCCTCCCGAGCCTCCCGGGCTCCCCAGCCTCTGCCCCCGCCGGCAGGGAGCCCCGAGGGGTTTGGGTGCCCTCCCTGCCGGCTGTCCCACCTGGAAAACCGAGCCGGAGGGGACAGCCTGGCCAGGCCACGCTGCTCCCTGCGCTGCCAGAGCCGGGCTGCAGCTCCTGGGGGAGGTGGTGGCAGCAGCAGCGCTCCTGGGGGTGCCCAGTGTGGATTTTGGGGGGTGCCCAGTGTGAATTTTGGGGCCCCAGGGCACCCAGCCCTTCCCAGAGCTCTCGGGGTGAGCTGGGCCAGGGCTCGGGCACTGCTGGGGGATCCTCATGGGCACTGCCAGGGTGGGGAGGCACCCGGGGAATGCTCTGGGAAACAGGTGACACTGACACCCAGGAATGCTCGGGGATCCAGGTGACACTGACACTCAGGGAACACTCTGGGATCCAGGGGACACAGCCACCCAGGGATTGTGCCATGATCCAGGGGACACAGCCACCCAGGGACCTCTCTAGGACACAGGTGACAGCCGTCACAGGCCGCCGCAGGGTGCCGGTGGCACAGACACTCACAGGTCATGGCAGGGTGCAGGTGGCACAGCCACCCGGTGACCCCTCTGGGACACAGGTGACAGCCATCACAGGCCGTGGCAGGGTGCCGGTGGCACTCCCCAGGCCCTGCAGCTCCCGGGGCACAGCAGCCACAGCCCGGCCGTGCCGGGAGGGCTCCGCTCGCTGCGGCTCCTCCCGAGCCCGAAAGAGTGGATTTTGGGGGGTGCCCAGTGTGAATTTGGGGCTCCAAAGCAGCCAGTGTGGATTTTGGGGGGTGCCCAGTGTGGATCTAGGGCTCCAGGGCACCCAGTGTGGATTTTGAGGGGTGTAAAGAGTGGATTTGGGGGGTGCCCAGTGTGAATTTGGGGCTCCAGGGCACCCAGTGTGGGTTTTGGGGGGTGTCCAGCATGGATCTGGGGCTCCAGGGCACCCAGTGTGGATTCTGGGGAGTGCCCAGTGTGGATTTTGGGGCTCCCGAGCACCCAGTGTGGATTCTGGGGAGTGCCCAGTGTGGATTTTGGGGCTCCTGAGCACCCAGTGTGGATTCTGGGGAGTGCCCAGTGTGGATTTTGGGGCTCCCGAGCACCCAGTGTGGATTTTGGGGAGTGCCCAGTGTGGATTTTGGGGCTCCAGGGCACCTAGTGTGGGTTTTGGGGGGTGCCCAGCGTGGATTTTGGGGCCCCAGGGCACCCAGCCCTTCCCAGAGCTCTCGGGGTGAGCTGGGCCAGGGCTCGGGCACTGCTGCAGCCGTCACAGGCCGCCGCAGGGTGCCGGTGGCACAGACACTCACAGGTCATGGCAGGGTGCAGGTGACACCGCCACCCGGTGACCCCTCTAGGACACAGGTGACAGCCATCACAGGCCGTGGCAGGGTGCAGGTGGCACAGACACTCACAGGCCGTGCCAGGGTGCAGGTGACACAGATACCCGGTGACCCCTCTGGGACACAGGTGACAGCCATCACAGGCCGTGGCAGGGTGCCGGTGGCACTCCCCAGGCCCTGCAGCTCCCGGGGCACAGCAGCCACAGCCCGGCCGTGCCGGGAGGGCTCCGCTCGCTGCGGCTCCTCCCGAGCCCGGCAGAGCTCCCGCGGGAAGCGCAGCCCCGGGCGGGCCGGGGCCAAGCCCCGAGCGTGCCAAAAGGTGAGCCCCGCTCCCCGCGAGCCCTGCGGGGCGGATCCTGTCCCCAGCACCGTCCCACGATCCCCGTTTCCCGCAGGAGTCCCCCAAACCCGCTACGGGCACCCCGATCCCGCTCGGCTCCCGCGGGCCGGGACAGCGGGAATGTGGCACGGGCCCGTGCCAGGCAGGGGCACGGAGCGGGCACAGGGGCTCTGCTGCTGTCCCTCTGCTGCTGTCCCCTCGCTGCTCTCCCTTTACCGCTTTCCCGTTCCTGTCTTCCCTTCGCTGCTTTCCCTTTCCATCTCTCCCTTCGCCGTTTTCCCTTTCCTGCTCTCCTTTTTGCAGTTTTCCCGTTCCTGCTCTCCCTCGCTGCTCTCCCTTTGCAGTTTTCCCTTTCCTGTTTTCCCTTTCCTTCTCTCCCGTTCCTGCTCTCCTTCTCCTGTTCTGCCTTCGCTGTTTTCCATTTGCTGTTTTCCCTTTCCTGCTCTCCGTTTTTCTGTTTTCCCTTTCCCGCTCTCCCTTCGCTGTTTTCCATTTCCTGCTCCCCCTTTCCTTCTCTCCCCTTCCTGCTCTTCTTCGCTGTTTTCCCATTCCCGCTCTCCCTCTCCGCTCTCCCTCGCTGCTCTCCCGTTCCCGCTCTCCCTTTGCAGTTTTCCCTTTCCTGCTCTCCCTGTGCAGTTATCTCGTTCCTGCTCTCCCTTTTTCTGCTCTCCCTCTCCCCTCTCCCTTTGAAGTTTCCCCTCTCCTGCTTTCCCTTTGCAGTTATCCCGTTCCTGCTCTCCTTTCTTCTGTCTTCCCTCTCCCCTCTCCTTTGCAGTTTTCCCTTTCCTGCTCTCCCTCGCTGCTCTCCCTTTGCAGTTTTCCCTTTCCTGTTTTCCCTTTCCTTCTCTCCCGTTCCTGCTCTCCTTCTCCTGTTCTGCCTTCGCTGTTTTCCATTTGCTGTTTTCCCTTTCCTGCTCTCCCTTTCCTGCTCTCCGTTTTTCTGTTTTCCCTTTCCCGCTCTCCCTTCGCTGTTTTCCATTTCCTGCTCCCCCTTTCCTTCTCTCCCCTTCCTGCTCTTCTTCGCTGTTTTCCCATTCCCGCTCTCCCTCTCCGCTCTCCCTCGCTGCTCTCCCGTTCCCGCTCTCCCTTTGCAGTTTTCCCTTTCCTGCTCTCCCTGTGCAGTTATCTCGTTCCTGCTCTCCCTTTTTCTGCTCTCCCTCTCCCCTCTCCCTTTGAAGTTTCCCCTCTCCTGCTTTCCCTTTGCAGTTATCCCGTTCCTGCTCTCCTTTTTTCTGTCTTCCCTCTCCCCTCTCCCTCGCTGCTCTCCTTTGCAGTTTTCCCTTTCCTGCCCTCCCTTTGCAGTTTTCCTTTTCCTGCTCTCCCTCGCTGTTTTCCAGTTCCTGCTCTCCCTTTGCTGTTTTCTCTTTGCAGTTTCCCCTTTCCTGCCCTCCCTTTGCAGTTTTCCCATTCCTGCTCTCCCTTTTTCTGTTTTCCCTTTCCTGTTCTCCCTCATTGCTCTCCCTTTGCAGTTTCCCCCCTCCTGCTCTCCCTTTGCAGTTATCTCGTTCCTGCTCTCCCTCTCCCCTCTCCCTCGTCCTCTCCTCCCCGGCCGGGTCCCGCAGCAGCCGGGGGAGCTCCAGGCCGGGCTTGGCCGGGCCAGCGCTCACCACGGCCGGGCCAGCGCTCACCACGGCCGGGCAGCGCTCACCACGGCCGGGCCAGCGCTCACCACGGCCGGGCCAGCGCTCACCATGGCCGGGCCAGCGCTCACCACGGCCGGGCCAGCGCTCACCATGGCCGGGCCAGCGCTCACCATGGCTACCCGGCCCCGGCGGAGGCATCCGGGCTCGGGGGGAGATGCCGGCCCCTTTCATGCCGCAGAAAGCCGCGACATCAGGGCTCTGTTGTTGGATGTCACCGTCTCCCTCCCACCGGCGTGAAAAATCAATTAGGAAGAATTAGCGACGTGTCACCGGGGCTCGGGAGGGGACAATTGCGGGGCCCGTCCTGCGCCTGGAGACGCGGCTCGGCCCCGGAGGAGCCGGCTCTGTGTCACCGGCTGTCCCCGGCCCTGGCGGTGCTCCAGCCAAAGGAGGGATGGATGCCCAGGCACCCAAATCCTTCGGGATGCGGATTGCCAGGCGGGCTCGGGGAGCGGGGGTCGCTCCCTGCCTCGCTCGCTCCATCCCTCCGAGGCCCCAAACCCTGCAGCATCCCCGGCTCCAGGGCTGGAATGGCTCTCTGGGAATGTGACTCGCGCCTCTTTTCCCTCCTCTTTCCATGTGCGTGTGTATATATATAAACCAAAAAGGGAAAAAAAAATCCCAAACTCTGATTAAAATCCCTTTTTTTTATTCACCTGCCCATCTTTCCTGTCTGCATCTCCCCTTCTATCCAAACTCATAATTAATCGCTCAAGGCAAAAGTAATGAATGTTAATTGGCCATCTGTACAAAGACTAATTAAAATCTACCATGCTGGGGATTAAAACATACCTATAGCAACTGCCTGAATTGAGAATGAGACAGAGGAGAGATTGAGAAAACAGCTGAAAGGCTTGTGCAAAACGCAATCTCGCTTAGGTGTGAGATGAGTTGCAGCTCCGAGATCTGAGATGCTTTATTATTAAATTAAAAAAACACAACAAAACCAACCCAAAAACGGGGAAGGGGGGGAGGGTGGGGAAGAAACTTCTGAGCTGGGAGCTGGTTTAATGGGAAGAAAGGCCGCGGGGGATTTCAAAGGAGGAGTGACCCCAACATTTCTCGTCGGGCTTGGAGGAGGATAAAAACTGCCCGCTCCCCTCCCCGCCCGCGGGGAATATTCGGCGGCGTTCGGAGCTTTTTTAGGGTTTGTGGCTGTGAATGAACCCCGAGCAGCATGGCTTGGGTTTGGGGTGAGGGATGGGGCACGGCCGGGGCTGTGCCCGCCCTGCCCTCGCCGCCCCATTCCCTCCTTTGTCCCAAACCCGCGGCTTCCCAGCGCGCCCGCCCCTTTGTTGGGAGGCTTTGGGACCCGGGGCAATGTTCCCAAACGAAGGAGCGGCAGTGGCGGTTCCCAGAGCTGCTGTTCCTCCTCCTCCTCGGCCCCGCGGCCCCCCGGACCCTCCCCGCGCTGCTGCCGAGCCGGCTCCGTCCCACCTGGCCCAGGTGGCCCCGCTGTCCCCTCGGGCGCTGGTGACACCGCTGGAGGTGGCAGGAGGAGCGCAGGGCTGGAGGGGACCCCGGGGGACACTGAAGGGTGACAAGGAGGCTGCACCCTCCCTCCAAACAAGCTCAGGGCAGCTCAAAACTCCGGTTTTTTAAGCTCAAAAAAAAAAAATAAAAATCAGAACTAAACGCTGCGGCCACAGTTTGCGCTGGAAGTCACCGAGCTGCGGCTCCACCGCCGCGTGTCCCCGAGCAGCTGCAGGCCAGGGATGTCCCCTGCATGTCCCAAACCACCCCTCCCGAACCCCGGATCCCATTCCAGGGGTGCCGGGTGCCCCCGGGCAGTGCCCCCATCCCTGCCGGGGGTTTTTGGGCTGGGCGGCGGGGGCAGCCCGGGCACCCCCCCGGCAGCAGCGGGGCTTTGCCGCCGTGCCGGGAGCTCGGGGCTCTGCTCTTGTTTTCTCAGATTCGGCTGTGTTTACTCCCAACACGAGTGACCGCCGTGGCCCCATTACGGCGGCACTGACAGCTCGGCTGACAAGTGCGCTCGCGGCAGGAATGTGAATGCGGCTCCCGGCCCCGAGCGCCGCTCCCGCCGCTCCAAACCCGCGGGCACGGCCCGCCCGAGCGCCCGGCAGCGGCACGGGCACCGGCACGGGCTGCGGGGCACCGGGGATCCGCCCGGGGGCGAGCAGCGCCGGGCATCGCCCTTGCTGCTGAGCTCGGGCTGGGGTCTCCCAACAGCGTGGGAAGGACTGGGATGCACTGGGATCATCAGTACGGGACGGATGGGAACGGTTTTCTCTCCCTTTCTGTCTGAGCTCAGAGCTGAGGAACCTTCAGAGCCTGCTGGCATCCCAAAGTCCCTGGAAGGACTGGGATGCACCGGGATTACCAGCACAGAAGGGTTGGGCATGGTTTTCTCACCCTTTCTGCCTGAACTCAGAGCTGAGGAACCTTCAGAGCCTGCTGGCATCCCAAAGTCCCTGGAAGGACTGGGATGCACTGGGGTCATCAGTACGGGAGGGATGGGAATGGTTTTCTTGCCCTTCCTGCCTGAGCTCGGGGCTGGCATCTTCCAACAGGATGGGAAGGACTGGGATGCACTGGGATCATCAGCACAAGAGGAATGAGGATGGTTTTCTCTCCCTTCATGTCCGAACTCAGAGCTGGGACCTTCCAACAGGATGGGAAGGACAGGGATACACTGGGATCATCAGCACAGGAGGGGTGGGAGGGATGGGAGCTTGGTCCCTTTTTCTGTATGAACTCAGAGCTGAGGAACCTTCAGGGCCTCCTGGCATCCTAAAATCCCTGGAAGGACAGGGATTCACTGGGATCATCAGCACAGGAGGCATGGGAATGGTTTTCTCTCCCTTTCTGTCTGAACTCAGAGCTGAGGAACCTTCAGGGCCTCCTGGCATCCTAAAATCCCTGGAAGGACAGGGATGCAGTGGGATCATCAGCACAGGAGGGATGGACATGGTTTTCTCTCCTTTTCTGCACGAACTCAGAGCTGGGATCTCCCAACAGGACAGGAAGGACAGGGATTCACTGGGATCGTCAGCACAGGAGGGATGATAATCCCAGAGAAGGGATTCACTGGGATCATCAGCACAGGAGGCATGGGAATGGTTTTCTCTCCCTTTCTGTCTGAACTCAGAGCTGGGATCTTCCCGAGCCTGCCTGGATCACAACAGGTTGGGAATGACAGGGATGCACTGGGATCATCAGCACAAGAGGGATGAGCATGGTTTTCTCTCCCTTTCTGTCTGAACTCAGAGCTGGGACCTTCCAACAGGATGGGAAGGACAGGGATACACTGGGATCATCAGCACAGGAGGGGTGGGAGGGATGGGAGCTTGGTCCCTTTTTCTGTATGAACTCAGAGCTGAGGAACCTTCAGGGCCTCCTGGCATCCTAAAATCCCTGGAAGGACAGGGATGCAGTGGGATCATCAGCACAGGAGGGATGGACATGGTTTTCTCTCCTTTTCTGCACGAACTCAGAGCTGGGATCTCCCAACAGGACAGGAAGGACAGGGATTCACTGGGATCGTCAGCACAGGAGGGATGATAATCCCAGAGAACGGTTTTCTCTGGCATGGTTTTTGCTCCCTTTCTGTCTGAATTCAGAGCTGAGGATCCTTCAGTCCCAAAGTCCCTGGAAGGACAGGGATTCACTGGGATTATCAGCACAGGAGGGATGGGCATGGTTTTCTCTCCCTTTCTGCCCTCTCACCCTTTCAGAGCTGGGATTTTCCCGAGCCTGCCAGGATGAGGATTGCAGCAGGATGGGAATGTCAAGGATTCTCTGGGATTATCCCGTGCCTGGGAAGGTTCTGAGGGCAGGTGGAGCATGAGGAGTGCAGGATGCTGGATGTGCCTGGCTGACCCGGTGTTGGATCAAGTTTTTTTTTATTTAGAGATGGGGAAATTGAGAGGTGTTTTAAAAACTGCTGCCCGGGGCAGGGGGTTGGGGCTGGAGGAGCTTTAAGGTCCATTCCAACCCAAACCATTCTGGGATTCCAGGATTCAGGGAAGGAGGCGTGAAAGGCACCAGGATGAGCAAAACAGTCTGGCTTTGGGGTGGTGTACGGAAAAACCAAGGGAAAACCAATTTTTGCAGCTTTCCCCACTGGGATGGGGGTGGCTGTTGGACTGCAGGGCCCACTCCAACCCCTGGTGGGATTGGTGGGTCCAGACCAGCTCCAGGAGCGATGCCAAAGTCAGGATCCAGCCCTAGGCCCAGCTTGGATCCAGCCCTAGGCCCAGTTTGGACCCAACCCCAGGCCCAGTTTGGATCCAGCCTTACTCTCAGTTTGGATCTAGCCCTAAACCCAGTTTGGATTTAGCCCTAAGCCCAGTTTGGAACTAATCCTAGTCCCACCCTACATCCAGCCCTAAGCCCAGTTTGGATCTAGCCCTAAGCCCAGTTTGGAACTAACCCTACTCCCAGTTTGGATCCAGCCCTACTCCCAGTTTGGATCCAGCCCTAGTTCCAGTTTGGATCCAGCCCTACTCCAATCTTAGATCCGGCCCTAGACCCAGCTGGGATCCAACCCTATTCCCATCTTAGATTTAGCCCTAATCCCAGTCTGGAACTAGCCCTAGGCCCAGATTGGATCCAGCCCTAGGCCCAGTTTAGATCCAGCCCTGGTCCAAGTTTGGATCCAGCCCTAGGCCCAGTTTAGATCCAGCCCTAGGCCCAGCTCAGCTGCTCCGCCTGCACAGCTCAAGCTGGTTTAATTAATCACAGATCGTTTCTGCAGTGCCTCCCCATTAACCTCCACAGCAAACTAACTAATTACTCATTAAGGCAGGGAAGCTCTGCGGGCCAGGACAGCTCAGCACAGAGCTCTGCTCCTGCTCTGGCCCGGGTTAATCTGTGAGCTCCTGGCTGGCCTCGTTACTCATTAGTGAAACCCTGACTGCTCAGAGCCTTCGGGATGAGGGGACCTCAGGGATCATCGTGTTCCGTGGCAGGGACACCTCCCACTGCCCCAGGCTGCTCCCAGTGTCCAGCCTGGCCTTGGCACTGCCAAGGATCCAGGGATTCTCTGGGAATTCCAGCCCAGCCCCTGCCCACCCTCCCAGCCAGCAATTCCTTGCCAAGATCCCAGCCCAATCTCCCCTTGGCCAGTGGCAGCCATTCCCTGTGTCCTGTCCCTCTGTCCCTTGTCCCCAGTCCCTCTGCAGCTCTCCTGGAGCCCCTGCAGGCCATGCCAGGGGCTCTGAGCTCTGCCTGGAGCCTTCCCTTCTCCAGGGAACATTCCCAGCTCTGCAGGCTGGCTCCAGAGCAGAGGGGCTCCAGCCCTGCAGCAGCTCCGGGGCCTCCTCTGGGCTCTCTGCAGCAGCTCCACGTCCTCCTGCTGTTGGCCCCAGGGCTGGGGCAGCTCTGCAGCTGGGCTCTCACCTCAGGGCCACAGGGACACCATTCCCACCTTCCTGCTGGGACCAGCCTGGGCACGGGGGCTCTGCAGGTGGGCTCTCACCTGAGGGCCACAGGGACACCATTCCCACCTTTCCTTTGGGATCAGCCCGGGCACGGGGGGCTCTGCAGGTGGGCTCTCACCTCAGGGGCAGAACCCCCCGTGCTGGAGCTGCTTCTCAGGCCACCAAGGCCAGGGGGGACGTGGCTGAAAATGGGTGACAGCGAGGACAGAGGGACAGGAGGGGACGGGCAGTGCCCCCAGCCCCCAGGAGGAGCCTCTGCGAGGACCCAGCTCTGCAGAAAGGGCTTTGCTGTTCCAACCCTCCCAGGCTCAGCCCTGCACACCCCAGCACAGCTCCAGGACAGCCCCAACAGCTCCTGGCTCGTGCCCTCGGGTGGAGGACGTGTCTCCAGGGTGGGGGTCCCTGCGTGGGCCCCCCGGGCAGGGGGAGCAGCTCCTTTCCCTTTGGCCCTGGGCACAGGCAGCTGCTGTTTGCCAGCCCGGAGCTGGGCCCTCGGTGCCTGGAACAGCCAAACTCAGCATTTCTGGGCTCTGGGAAAGCAAGGTGTCCTCCCCCCTCCGGGACAGCTCTGGGGAGGGGCAGGGAGCTGAGCCAGGGCCGGCCGCCTGGCTTTGGGAGGTCAGGGGTGAGCTGGGTTTCATTTGGGCGGCTTTGGGGGGGATTTAGGGGCTCAGCCCCGCTCACAGCCAGGGAAACTAAACCCAGCCACGGCTCTGGCTCTGCCCGACCCGGCTCAGCCCACCCGGCACGGCCACAAAGGGCACAGTGTGTCCCCAGCGTGGGGAGGGGGCTCAGGGGGGTCCCCCGGGCACCTGGGGAGGGCGGTGTGACCCCAAAGCACGGCACAGAGCCCTCCCCTCCTGCCCCACACTGCTCTGGAGGCCATCACGGCGCTTTCTGTAGCATTTTTTAGGGATTTCAGCTGAGGAGGCACCTGCACAGCTCCTGCTGCAGCTTTATCTTCCTGTTCGGGGGGAAGGAAAAAGGGAAAAGCAGGAAAAGGGATAAAATGCCCCACACAGGGTTCTGCTGTTGGAGGCAGGGTGGGAAGCTGTGGAATTTGGGGGGAAGTTAAAGGGGAAAAGCAGGAAAAGAGATAAAATGCCCCACATAGGGTTTGGCTGCTGGAGGCAGGGTGGGAAGTTGTGGAATTTGGGGGGAAGGAAAATAGGGAAAGCAGGAAAAGGGATAAAATGGGGTTTTACACAGGTTTTTGGTGCAGGAAGCAAGGTGGGAAGCTGTGGAATTTGGGGGGAAGAAAAAGGGAAAAGCAGGAAAAGGCATAAAATGCCCCACACAGGGTTTGGCTGCAGGAGGCAGGGTGGGAAGCTGTGGAATTTGGGGGGAAATCAGAACTTCCTGGGGGGACACCCCAGGGCTGGAGGGTTTGGGGCTTGAAAGCTGCCCTGGATTCCCAGCAGGGAGAGCAGAACCCCTGGCTCTGCCCGGCATGCAGGAGAGCCTGGCTGGCTCATTTTGGGGTCACTCCCTGCAGGGTTCCCCCCAACCCAGGACACTGCGCTGCCCAAATCCCACAGCTCCCCGCGGGACACACCTGCCCAGGTGAGCTGTGGGAATTGGCAGAGCTCTGCAGAGCTCCAAACCCCTTCATTTTTAACACCCTTTTGTATTTCCCCTACTCGCGCCTCCGGCAAAGCCCCCGGCGCCGGGACGCGATCCCCAATTAAAAAATGATCCCAAGGGGTCGGTGCGGGGCAGGAGGGGCTGGAATCCCGCTCCATCCCCTCCCGACACCCCGCTGCTCTCGCAGAGGCATTCCCGAGCTCCCGCTCCGGCCGGGCTCTGTTCCGCGGTCTCGGGACGCCCTCAGCCGGTGACTGGAAATGCCGGGAAAGGGAAAGACAAAATTCCACGGCTTTTGGCCTTTGCATGGAGCAGAGCCCTCGGGGCACGGGCTGGCTCCGCGGGCAGGGAGCGCCGGAACCCAGGGGATGCTGGCACCCAGGGATGCTGGTACCCGGGGGATGCTGGCACCCAGGGGATGCTGGCACCCAGGGATGCTGGTACCCGGGGAGTGCTGGCACCCAGGGGATGCTGGCACCCAGGGATGCTGGTACCCGGGGATGCTGGCATCCAGGGGATGCTGGTACCCGGGGATGCTGGTACCCGGGGGATACTGGTACCCGGGGATGCTGGCACCCAGGGATGCTGGCACCCAGGGAGAGCTGGCACCCAGGGATGCTGGCACCCAGGGCATTCTCGTACCCAGGGGATGCTGGCACCCAGGGGATGCTCGTACTCAGGGGACACTGGCACCCGGAGTGATACTGGCACCCAGGGGATTTTGGTACCTAGGAGATTTTGGTGCCCAGGGGATGTTGGTACCCAGGGGTTTTTGGCACCCAAAGGTGCTGGTCCATGGGGCATGTTGGTACCCAGAGGATGCAGCTACCCAGGGAGTGGTGATGCCCAGGGGCTGCTGGCACCTGGGAGTGCTGGTGCCTGGTGGATGTTGGCATCCAGGTGATATTTGTACCCAGGGGACGCTGGCACCTGGTGGATGTTGGTACCCAGGTGTGGAGTCTTAATTTCTTTTTCCAAGTTCGGGATTAAATGTGTGAGACAGGATTTTGTGTTGGGACTCAGCCGTTTATCAGTTCTTATCTGATATCTTATCTGATTTATCTTATCTCAGCCTCACAAACCTGAGCTCTGCAGCACTTCACTCTAAACTAAAAATGGAGCCCTGTCTCTCTCTCCAAGGCCTTTTAAGGATCAACTGTCCAATTAAGAAATGACACAAAATTATTTTTAATTTTAACCCAATAACCAACCACCTATGGCTGCAATGGGGACTTTTTATCCAATGACACAAAACCACCCAAACCCAGGGAGGAGAAGGAGAAAGGAGAAGGAGAAGGAGAAGGAGGAAGGAGAAGGAGAAGGAGAAGGAGAAGGAGAAGGAGAACCAGGCTCTGCCCCAAAACCTCCACCTTGCTCTGTATCTATTGCTACATTCTAAACCCCAAACTCTGAGTTTCCCACCCTGTGTGTCACACACTTCTATCAAACCCCACAGCCACAATCCCAGCTCTCCCATTCCATTTTGGAGCCCTCAGGTCAGTGCAGTGTTCTCCTGGGGGTCAGAGCCTGGCAGCACAGAAAGTCTGGAATTCTCAGTGACCAGGGCTCCAACACCCAGGGGATGCTGACACCCAGGAATGGTGACCCCCAGGGGGTGTTGGTACCCAGGGGATGTTGGTACCTGTTGAATTGTTCCTGAAAATGACCCAGGGCCAGCACAGGGGACATGGATCTGTCCCAGCAGGGACACAGGAGACCCTGGAGCTGCTCTGGAGCCAGGCTGGCAGGGCTGGGAATGTTCCCTGGAGAAGGGAAGGCTCCAGGCAGAGCTCAGAGCCCCTGGCAGGGCCTGCAGGGGCTCCAGGAGAGCTGCAGAGGGACTGGGGACAAGGGACAGAGGGACAGGACACAGGGAATGCCCAGAGGACAGGAAGAGATGGGATCTTGAGAAGCTCTGGGATTATTTTATGAAGAGAGCCAGATCCCAAAATATTCCTGCTCCAGAAGGGATGGGAAAACCCCAGGAATGCAGGTGAGGAGAGGGGGATACTTCAGCAGCAGCCAGCCCAGGGAGGATTCCCAGCCCCATAAACCCAGCAGGAATCAAATCCCACAGCAACATTCCCATGCCAGGGTTGGGAGCTGCAGAGGGATTTTGTTAATGAAAGTGTCCCAGGCAGGGAGCAAAGCTGAAAGCAGCCAGCAGGGCTGCCTGGGGAGGAGGGATTTAGGAGCTTGGCAGGATTAAATGAACACAGAATTAATGAAAGGGCTCCGAGAGGGGAGGACAGGGCTCCAGGAGGGAATTCTGGTGAAGCCAGTGCTTAACCCAGGACCCTCCTCCCTCCCTGGCAGGAATTCACCCACCCTCAGAGGCACAGCAGAAACCCCAGAGCAGACAGGCTTCATGATTTTAATGATTTTAACATTTTAATGGAGAGCCAGGGGGACAAAATTGGGGTGGAGGGGGCACAGAGGGGCACTGGGCATTTCCAGGGCACACAGGGCTTCAAAACAACTTTTCTGCACCAGCTTTCCAAAGGAAAAGTCTCTGTGTGTCTGTGCCTGCTGGAATCTGATGGAAAAATGACAAAAAAAAATTTCCACAAATAGTTAAAAGGGGCTAAAACCCCAAAGCAAGGCTTGGACCCAAAACCTGCAAGGGGAGCAGGGCAGGAACTCAGGGCTGCATCTTTGCTGTGACCTTTGCTCAGGTTTCTGCGAGCTGGTGACCCCAGCCAGGCTCCCAAAATTCCCAGCTCCTCCAAGGCAGCTCCCTCTCCTGGTGGGTTTTGTGGGAAAAGCACCGGGAGAGGCTTTTCTGTCCAGCCCAGAATGCAGCCCAGCCCCAGGACGGCTCCCTGGGGACCAAGGGGACACACACACGGGGACACAGCCCTCGTGTGCCTTTGGCTCCCACAAACTGCTGAGTCTGAGCCTTCAGGGCCATTCCATGGGGACAGCCACCCCAAATCCCCGGGAGAGAGGGACTGCAGCCCCTGGCAGCGGGGGCTCAGCAGCAGGAGCTGCTGCCAGCCCCAAAAGGGCACCAAAAGGCACACAGAGGTGTCCTTAAAGCTTCCCAAATCCCGGGATTTGAACAAGGTCTGCTGGAGGCACCAGGGAAAGGCTCAGCTGGAAGCAAAGCAGGGAGGGAACTGTGGAGGAGCTCAGATGTCAAAGAAATCCACGTGTGCTCCCGAGGGAAAGGAATCCTCCTGCAGGAGCCGGAGCAGCTTCTGGGCTGACACGGAGCTGTCGATGAGCTGCCCCTGCTCCTGCAGCCTCTGGAAGCGCCGGCGCAGCCCAGGGTCCCCAGTCCTGGTCCGGGCCAGGAGCTGCATGTCCGTGTCCAGAGGCCCTGGGGAAAAGGAAAAAAATCACCCAAAAAATCACTTCAGGAGAAAGGAACATCCAGGGCTTGTTCTTCCCTCTGGAGAAAGGCTGGAGAGCTGGGAATGCTCCCCTGGAGAAGGGAAAAATCCAGGGAATAGTCCCTTCCCCTCCAACCCAGGCTGGAATTCCACGATCCTGATGGAAAAGCTGTCTGGGAGATGGAGTTTGAGTCCAGCTGCTGCACCCAGCACAGGGAACCAGCCCTGCACTCTGCTGCCGGGGGCTGGGGGGGCAGGAGCAGGGCTGGGCTGCAGGAATGCCCATCCCAAAGGCAGGAGAAGGTGGCCAGGCAGCAGGGAGCTGCTCTCCTCACCCGGGGCATAGTTGAGCACACGGAGCCCGGGCTCCTCCAGCGCCAGCACACGGAACATCATATCCCGGGCAGCCTTCCCGGAGCAGTACAGAGCCCAGCTGGGGAAGGGCTCCAGGGCACACAGCGAGGAGATGTTCACCACGGTCCTGCTGCAGCCAGGCCGTGCCCCAAAGGCCCTCAGGGCCGTGGAGGTCAGGCACAGCGCCGAGCTGATGTTGAAGGAGAAGTAGGTGTTGATCTCCTCCAGGTCGGTGAGGTCCAGGAAGGATTTGGAGATGTCTCCCAAGGAGCCTGGGAATTGCAAATGTGGGATGGGATCTTAAGGAATGTCCTGTCAGCACCCTGCCATGGAAGGGACACCTTCCACTGGCCCAGGGTGCTCCAAGCCCCAGGTCCAGCCTGGCCTGGGACACCTCCAAAAAGATGGAAAAATGAGTTAGAGACAGGATCAACCCCTCAGCAGATCCCTCTGGCTGCCACATTCCACACCCAACACCTGCAGAGCTTTGGGGCCGGCCCCTGCCAGCTCCCACAGCAGCCTGAGGAGCCCAGCCCGGCCCATTTCGGGTCACACTGACCCAGACAGGGGACAGGACCTGCCCTGCCACCCCTCTGCCGACACAAACAGCTGCCAGCCTGGAGCACAGTGTCCCCAAGGGCCACCACGGCCCTCCTGCAGGTCCCGTGGCAGTGCAGCCCCAAATCCTGGAACCTTTATGGCACCCAGGGGTGATTTACAGCCATAATGGGCAGAAGGGCTCCCAAGGCATAACAGGCACCAGGAGGGACCCACGAGGTGGGGCTGCAAGTGTGAAGGTTTGGATTTGGGGAGCAGGGGGATGAGAGGTGCAGGAGGGCAACCGGCACAGCAAAACCTTGTGAGCAGCAAAGCACTGCCAGGGACCCCCAAATGAACTCCTTTAATAAACCCACAGCGGGACAGGGGGAAACCCCCGCAGCTCCTTTTCCCTTTCGGGTTATTTGCCGGCACCCCAAGCCCGGAGCAAGCCCCGGCTCAGCCGGAACCAGGCGGGGCTGCCCCGGGGAAGGAGGGCAGCGCTCGGGGAGGGGACAGGCGGGGACAGCCGTGTCGTACCGGCGTTGTTCACCAGGAGCAGGCGGCCGAAGGACGCGTCCTGCAGCAGCTCCCGCAGGGCAGCGCCCGCCCTGCGCAGCCCCTGCTCGCAGCCCAGGTCAGCGGCCACGCACTGCACCCGCAGCTCGGTGTCGCTGCGGGTGTCGCTGCGGGTGTCGCTGCCGGTGTCGCTGCCGGTGTCCCTGCGGGTGTCACTGCCGGTGTCACTGCGGGTGTCGCTGCGGGTGTCGCTGCCGGTGTCGCTGCCGGTGGCCCCGGCGCGCAGCTCGGTCGCCAGCTCGGCCAGCGCGTCCGCGGAGCGCGCCAGCAGCAGCAGCGCCGAGCCGGGCCCGA